GGTGGGGGGGGCGCAGGGGAGAGAAAGGAGGGAGCAGCAGAGAGTGAGATGGGGAGAGACAGACAAGTGAAGAATAGACAGAAGCAGAAAGGGAGACAGAGAAGCTGGCTTTTCAGAAAACCTATTGACCGCCTGCTCTTAAAAATATCATATTGAGTTAGCCTCACAGGGGCAGGCTTTTGATATTTTTTTCTTTGGCTGTAGAATTAAAAGGAGTGTGGAGCATTACTTGAATTATAAATCATAGGCACTTGCTTTCACTGCACCCAAATTCCGCGCATATGTGGCTGCACTCTCCAGCACCAGCCCCTGTCATTTTTAATTAAATCCCCCCTTATGGGTGACATTTGCAGCTACCCACCCTCCTCCTCCTCTTCATCCTCCCCTTCACGTCTCTCTACCGCTGCCCTAGATGGAGACATGAAAGGCAGAGACGGCAGCGGAGCCAGGGCTTCTCATAGTTTAGTGCCCCAGAGAGAGGGCACCCATCCAGACAGATGAGAGAGAAAGACCCTGCAGGGACAGAGAGGGTGAATGGATGCCGCTGACCCCGGCCAGCCTCTCTCCCCCGTGACGATCATCCTCCACCGTGTGCCAGAAGGTCCAGGAAATGCAAGGGGTGGGGGTGGGGTGGGGGGAATAAGAGCTGCGTCAGTCCAGTGATGAGTAACACTGAGGTGGCTGGACAGGAGGGTCCACCAGCCCCCTCCTCCACGCTGCCTTCTTCTTCTTGGCCCAGACAGCAATTACTTCGCCACATGTCAGCTAAAGAATAACAGGTCCAGAATCCTCCACTTGACTGGCTGATGGGGACATTTCTGCCAGTTTTTTATTTTATATTTTATTTTATTTTTTCAGAGTTTCTTTTCAAATTCCTGCAGATTTTTGTCCATTTGTTTTAATTCCTCGACATTTGTGCCAGGGTGACACTTTCTGAGCAGGCAGCTGTCACACTGTGCGTGCACATTTCACCCAGACTTATTGTAGCTGCTGCCCCTGTTAACCACACTGCTGCTCCCACATTTGTCCTGCGATTGGGTCGGTCGTCAGGCTAATTGTGTCTCTAATCCCAAGCAGAACCTCGGTGATTTAGCATACTTTGTGTCACAATAACAGTCCGAACTCTAAATAAATCATGAGCTATTCCACGTTTGATTAACTCAATCACAATGAAGTCAAACTGATTCTTTGCCCAGGTGAATTCCAGTTTCCAATCAACTGGTGTGTGGATGAAAATATGATCCTAAATCTGCCTTGTAGCGGAGACAAGCACACACACATACACACCTGTAGCCAAAACCCTCAGTGACAACAGCCTGAAGGCCCACAGTGCCAATCAGCCAGGTGTAGATGAAAATTCCCACGGAGCCTGATATCCCAGGTTCATGCCATGTCAGGCCAGGTTCAGCCCTCCTCCAGCTTGATCGACAGAGACAACTTGGCCTTGTCACACTCAGCCCTAGGACATGACATCGAGGTTCACCAGGGAATTGTAGTTTTCCTAATAGCCCTGCGCCTCTGCAGGCTGAGCTGCCAGAGCCATTAGTTTGCTTTGCTTTTAGCCGCTTCCCTTTCTTAACCGCTCCGCCATGTCGAGGAGTAATATGCTCAGGTAATGACCTCCAGTCACCTCTCCTCCACTGTTGTCTGAGACACTGTGAGACATGACAGTGGAATTAGCTGGTCATATCAAATTGCAGCCAGCACTTCAATGGCTGCTGTCTAGAGGGAGAGGGAGGGGGAAAAAAGAAAGAAATAACTTTGGGAAAGAGGGTAGAATTTTTCACTTGAATATTTAAGCGTGGTCACTGGCAGCTGCAGCAGAAATAACAACCTTTACCCTGATTGCCTCAGCACCCTGGAGGTGGGGGGGCATGAAGTGGAACAAGGGGAGAAGGAATGGAGACGGCGAGGGAGAGCGAATCTGCATGTATTTGACCTTTTCCCACTGATTGAACCACCTCCTTTCTGACTCCCATTTGGAATTCCACAGGACGCTGTCATTATTTCACACTCTGAAGGAGGGTAGCAGAGGTCAGGAGGGGGTTTTATGCTAAAAGGTGATTGACGGCTATCAATTGTACCCATAGCTCCATGCATGAACGCCTACTTATTCATTTTGGGGAGATTGCTGAAAAGCCTTATGGAAATTATCTTTTCACACATTTTTTTGTGAAATCCAAACTTTTAGAGCTTCTTATAAGGAGACAACAAGATATGTGTTGAGCTTACAGTCTCCTCTGTCACGTTGGCGTCTCAGCGCTGGCACACGGAGAGTCATTTCCGGCTGATTGCGTCCCGCGGCGTCATGCCTTCCCTCTGCCCTCTGCCTTCTGCTGGGAACACGGGGGGCCGGGCAATCTTATTGCCTCGAGAGGTGAGCTTTGAGGAAGAGGAACTCTCGTCTCTTGTAGTTTTGGTCACAGCGGGACTTGGGTTCAAAAGCAGGTTCCTCGTTCCAAAGCCTCGGAGCTGGCATTTGGGCACCCCAGGTGCAGGGCTTCACCACCATCTGGTGTCGCCTGCCAGAGCATGGGGGAGTGTTGGAGAAGCAAGAGTACAAGGACCGTCTGTGGTCCCTCGCTGTCCCACAGGAAATGACATGCAGGTTGTGTCCTCACCGAGCCAAACTCTACACAGTCCCATTGTGAGAGGTGATGAGGGGGTTGCTTCTGACACAGCATTCAGTATTTCTGTCACCACGTGTAAGCTGTAATAA